GGGTCGGGTCACCAAAACAGAGTCAAACTCGACCCGTAAACCCGACCCGACCCGACCCGTTACTATAACGGGTCGTCCTATACGGGACGGGTCGGGCCGGGTCGGGCCAGATGCCCATGCCTATTGCTAGGTGTTGCATGCCATTCTAGTCATATCCTTCTGCATGCCTCAATTGTACTCTCATCTTTTCAATGTTCAATGTTCTTTCAGTTCCTTAGTGGAAACTCTTGCCAAACTTCTTTGTGAACACAAGCAAGTAGTAAGAATGCTAACGCAACGCTCTGATCACTCGCACAACCCCGTGCCCTCCTTCGTAGTTCACTCCCGTTGTGTAGTGACTCTCCGCAATTTTTTTGTTCTGAAAGTTGTGTATGCAATTAGCGTGATTAGAGAAGGTGCTCTGTTGTGCAGAGAAGAGCTCGCTCACGGAACACGCAGGGAGGCGGGCAGAGAGAGGTGAGTGATGGGGCCGTGGAGTTCATCGTTGCCTTGGAGCACACTGCAGGGAGGGTGGGGAGTGGGGGGTGATGCGGGGATTAGATGCATGATAGGCAGGATCGAGGTGGGCAGGGAGGGAAAAAGTCACAGCGAAGTGAGGGGGGGTGTGGGTTGGGAAGAAAGGGGGAGGGCTGGTGAGCGGGGTATGGGAGAGGCGTAAGCATCACGAAGCGTGATCGCTTAATTGGTGAGTTTATGAGATACTGTGCTCTGTACGAGTGCCTTCAGTACAATAGTACTTTGAATAGAGAACAGAACAGATGGCTCAACAGAACCAACGGCGTGTGTGTGTGTGTGTGTGTGTGTGTGTGTGTGTGTGTGTGTGTGTGTGTGTGTGTGTGTGTGTGTGTGTGTGTGTGTGTGTGTGTGTGTGTGTGTGTGTGTGTGTGTGTGTGTGTGTGTGTGTGTGTGTGTGTGTGTGTGTGTGTGTGTGTGTGTGTGTGTGTGTGTGTGTGTGTGTGTGTGTGTGTGTGTGTGTGTGTGTGTGTGTGTGTGTGTGTGTGTGTGTGTGTGTGTGTGTGTGTGTGTGTGTGTGTGTGTGTGTGTGTGTGTGTGTGTGTGTGTGTGTGTGTGTGTGTGTGTGTGTGTGTGTGTGTGTGTGTGTGTGTGTGTGTGTGTGTGTGTGTGTGTGTGTGTGTGTGTGTGTGTGTGTGTGTGTGTGTGTGTGTGTGTGTGTGTGTGTGTGTGTGTGTGTGTGTGTGTGTGTGTGTGCTTGCATGGATGAAAAATAACAGGAGAAAACGAGAGGAGAGGTGAACAAATGGGAGTGCATAGGAGGTTTTAGGAGGGAAGAACGTTGAGCAGCAAGTTAGAAGAATTATGAACTGGAGAAAGAAGGTGGGCAGTGGCAGTGTGGAAGCCATAGGCTTACAGGCGCCTGAGGTAAGGCATGGTGGAGAAGACATTTAAAGGCATGGTTCCACTAACAATATATTCAGGAGCATCACTGCACATGGAGGGAGGGGCATTGGATTAGCACACAAAACTGACTCATTCAAACGCACACATGCATGCATGCATGCACTCATGCACAGTGGGCACCACAACCTTGTGATGGAGCCAAGGCCAAATCAAGGATGCCGTTGTTAGAATAAGGCTGCCAGCATTCTTATATCAAAAATGTTTTTTGTGGTCTACGCGCGCATTTGTTGGGCTAACCTTACTTCGTTGGAATATTTCTCGTAATTTAAACAAACAGCCCACTCACCATTGGAAATTTGGTTGAATTTCCATCCCACCCCTTCCCTTCGCTTCCACAACACAACGTTGTTTGTACTTAATGACTTTTTTCATCAATCAATCCAATCTTCTATTTTGACATGGTATCAGAGCCAAAAGCTGTGGGTTTGGATCCTAGTGTGCACAATGAAAGGGTGTTGTGTTGGGAGAGCACCAGCATGGGTGTAAGGTCATGTGAAAGGTTCACAAGCAAGGATGGACTAGGGGTTTTATGGTCTTGCTCATGAACTATGAAACAAAACTTAATGTACTAGTGGTTAAGCTGGGCATTGCCAGCATGATACCACGATGAAGAAGCAAGATGGTGTCTGTCAGGTGAAGAGACTGACTTCTATGGCAAAGAACCATGGTTGCACAGAAAGCCCCTCGGCTGACATTTCTCTTGGTGAACTTTGACATCTTCAGCCCATACTCACCCTTTGGTGTGAGGCGATGAGAGCACTATCCATCTCACCAAGGACCCTGTCTTCCACAGTTGCACCATACACATTAAGATCTGCCACTATTTTTTCCGTGGACTACTCCAGAGCGGGCTGCTCAAAGCTAAGCACATTGCATCTGACTGCAACCTTGTTGACCTCTTCACCAAGTCCTTTGACCGCCAGAACCGCTATCGCCTGCTTACCTTCATGGTTGATATTTTGTAGTCTAGTAGGTGCGTTGGAAATAGGCTACCAACATTTTTTTGGGCCAGTGTATATCAAGTATCCCAACCTTATCCGGTTGGGGTTTTTATTGTAATTCAACCAATCTGTCAAGTCACTATTGGAGGATTGATTAAATTATCATCCCATCGTTTCTCTTCTCTTCCACAACCCAAGTTTGTTTGTACTCAAGGTCGAGCTGAAGGAATATATTAGACAGCGTAGCAATAGCGAGAGTTTCAGCTATGGGAACGATGTTGCGCCAGCAACTCGGTAGCGTTTCAGTAGCGTTCGTCTCCAAGGACTTAGTGAGATTTCAAGAAGCATTTGGGCTAGAATTGTAATATCAACTATGAATACAAAAGCAAACACACAAGATAGATATACTACGTGAAGGTTTCACAAAGTTGGTGTGGCGCTGCGGAGTAACCCAACCCCACGAAAGTGGTGTGTGGGTGAGCGAACGCGCCTCGTCAATTTCCCAACCCAACTCAGCAGGGAAGTCAATGCCGAGCTCGCTGATTCTCCCAGCACAGCTAGAAATGGCAGGACTCACAGAGTACCACCCACAACTCCCAAGACTCATGCCCGCGATTTCCCTAGGCTAACACCACCCCAGCAATGACTGTTTAGTGCTGCCGTTGTCACATCGCGTCACTACGCAACCATCGCCAAGTCATAGGGTTGGTGCTGGACTGCTCGTCTTGGTCTTTCATAGTCGACCTGCCAAGTCAAACGGTCGTTGAGGGCCCTTGCTGTCGTAGGGCCCTCTAACACTCCCCTGCCATACTACAGCAAGGCCCTTTATAGTCACAGGGCATGCATGCACGCATACACACCAAAAGAAAGGGACCCACACACACAAACGAAGCACTCTCAAAGTGCAAACACGCACCGCACCAGCCATGAATAGGCCATGGCACCATCCACATCATGGAGTGTCTAGGTCTCACTCCCCTCGCTCGAGAGCCTCACCTGCCCCACAGCCTCAAAGCAACGGCTGAAGGCGGGGCAATGCAATGCCTTTGTGAGGTAGTCAGCTGGCTGCTTGCTCGTAGGGATGTACTGCAGCTGCAGCTTCCTGCGCTTGACCATATGCTGCAGCCACATGTGGCGACGCTCCATGTGCTTGAGGCTCCCCTTAAGCCCCATGCCACCTGCCACTGTAATGGCAGAGGAGTTGTCCACAAAGAGGGTTGTGGGCTCCTCACTCCTCAGCAGTTGAAACTTTGCCAGCAGGAAGCGCAGCCTGCGTGCCTCCTTCCTTGCCTCCACAGCAGCAACGTACTCAGACTCAGTGGAGGAGAGGGTGACGCAACGAATCCTCTGACTCGCCCAAGAGACAGCAGCACCTCCGAGCACGAAGACATAGCCGCCGAAGACTGGTCCTGTTCTGCTTGTCCCCTGCATCATCAGCATCAGCGTAGCCCACCAGCTCCAAGGACTCCGGCCCACCACCAAACTCCAGCGCCACATCGCGGCTCCCCACCAAGTACGCCAAGCACCGGTCCAACTCCTTCCAGTGCTGGTCACTCCGCACAGTCTGGCCCGACCCCAGCTTGCTGCAGGCGAACGAGATGTCGGGGCGAGTGGTACAGGCTGCGAACTGCAAGGATCCCACCTTCTGCCTGTACTCCTCCTCCTGGCGAGACTGCCATCCCACATCCTCGAAGGTCTGCGCACTGAAAGGGTCAGAGGAAAGGGGGGTGCGAGGCACTCGCAGCGGCTGCTCCCCGTCCATGAAGCGCCTATGGACCTTGTCCACATAGGCCCCTTGGTGCAGCCACAGCCTCCTCGTAGGCCTGTCCCGAATCAGCTGCAAGCCCAGATACTTCTCTACAGGGCTAATCTCCCGCAGCTGAAACGCACTCTGCATCAGGTCACGCAGCTCCCCTAGCATGCTCTGACTGCGGCTGGCAGCAAGCAAGTCATCCACATACACCACCAGCCAGCACATCTCCCCCTCAGCATCACTCTTGAAGTACAGAGCCTCATCCACCTGGCTCTTCTTCCATCCTGCCCCAAGCAACACCCCATCCAAGGCCTCATACCACAGCATCCGGCTCTGCTTGAGCCCATACAGACTCTTCACCAACTTACAGACATGAGGAGTCCCATCCTCGTAGTAGCTCGGCTGCTCCATGTAAAGGTCTCGGTCCAGCACGCCATGGAGGAACGCGTTCTTCACATCCAGCTGCATCAAGTCCAAATCGAGTGCAGGTGCAATCGCCAGAAGCACACGCGCCGTCACATAGCTTCCCACAGGGGTGTACGTCTCCTCATAGTCCACCCCTGCCACCTGCGTGAACCCCTTCACCACCAGCCTCGCCTTCTCACGCTCCACTATCCCATCCGGTCGAAACTTGGTGTTCAAAATCCAGCGGTTCTTCATCACATTCACCCCAGAAGGACGCGGAACCAACTCTTACGTCCCCTGCTCAATCAAGCTCCGCATCTCCTCATCCATCGCCTCCTTCACCTTGTCGCCTTTCCAGCAGCCCAAGGCCTCCTTTACTGTCATCTTTTGCTATATCCCACTGCCTCTCAGGGTCGGCCACCACGTCTGGGTCCAGGTCCGTCCACTCCTCGTCCTCCTCCTCGTCATCCAAACCCGCTGGCTCAACCACTACAGCCCAAGCATAGCGAACATGCGGGACACCACGAGTGATGCGAGTGGAGCGACGCAGCAGTGCAGTGATCGTCCCAGAAGCCACCACATGACCACCATCTCTGATTCCCCACATCTCCTGCTCCCCCGTCTGCGGCTCCCCTGTCTGCTGCTCCCCTGGCTGCTGGTCCACCATCTGCTGGTCCCCAATCTGCTCCTCCCCTATCTGCTACTCCCCAATCTGCTGCTCCCCTATCTGCTGCTCCCCTATTTGCTGCTCCCCAATCTCCTTCCCCCCACTCTGCTGCACTCCATCCATGCTGCTCTCGTCCTGCAGCTGCTCAGTCTCAAAGCGCTACCCGTTGGTGATCACCATAGACGGCAGCACCACTATCCCCCCCTCACCAACGGGCGGCCCGTGGAGATGAAGAGGAGGATGGAGCAGGGGCAAGAGGGATGGAGAGTGGAAGGGGAGAGGGAATAATAGGAGGAGGAGGGGTAGGAGGAACCACACGAGGGTACACAGTAGGAGGAGGTGGGGTGGGGACTGAGGTAGGGACATAGGGCATAGCAGGAGTTGCGACCACGTCCTCCTCCTCCACCTCCTCCTCAAGAGTGCCGGGGAAGAGTGAAGGAAGGGGCTCATAGGGCATTGGACGCCCCCCATGCTCCTGCTGATGCGATGCCTGCGAAGATAACTACTACAACGGGAGCTAGACTATGGGCTAGGCACGGGTGCTCGTGTGATCTCTGCGTTCGTTGGTCCTTAGTCGTTTTCCTAGTGCACACACAACTTGCTAGTTCACAGGGAGAATTGGCAAGAGTTTCACTAGAGAAAGTTGACAACAATGGTACAATGAAGTTGGCATGGCAAGACTACATCAGAGCTAGCATTCAGATCGGTCGACTGCCAGCACAGCATGGTCGACCGCGTTCCAGCACGACTTGGTCGACCGCGCTCCTGCTGTGCAAAGTCGACGGCGTGCCAACGGTGCAGGTTGACGGCGTGCCAGCATTGCTCCCGCAGAACAGCAGCGCACCTACTTCGCAGGTGCTCGTAGATGATTGGCGGGCTAAGCCTCGTCACCTGAACAGAGCACGCACCAAGTCATCCTCGTGCTGACAGCTCCACCTGATCCGCCACGTCGACCTCGGGATACCACCACCGAGGTCGGACTCGCCAACTTCGCCTGGGCGACCGTCGCACTCCTTCGCAGAACCTCGTCACCCTGGTATCCTGGTCGACCGGGCAACCATGTCGACTAGCTGATCCTGTATGTACTTGTCGACCTCCCAAGTCGACGACCACACCAAGTCGACCTCACCAGGTCGACCACTCTTCTGGTCGACCAGCTCCAGGTCGACGTCACTCCTGGTCGACCAACTCCACGTCGACCAGCGCAGTTGTCAGCCGACCACCCAGGTCGGCTACCCGAAATCGGCGTCACCAAGTCGGCGACCTCCCAAGTCGGTGACCTTGCAAGTCGGCGACCTTGCAAGTCGGCGCCAACTTCCAGGTCGACGTGCCACATCGCCGACCACCAGTTGAAGTCGGCCGCCGGCTTCCCAAGTCGGCGGCATTGCAGTGGCCCCGTGCAAGTCGACCAACCCCGTCGACCAGCTCGCCCAAGTGGGCGTCGCCCACTACTGCAAGCCGGCTGTACCTTCCGTACACCCCACCACGAAGTCGGCTCCGCCCAAGCGTGGACGGGGCCAATACACAACTCCAGTTGACAATGCCTTCCATCCTGCCAAGGACATGGTCTCATAGAAAACTGCTTCCACAGTGGTGATGAGGCGGTTGGACTCCAAGTCTAGCACGTGCCAGCCTTTGCTCGCTGCTAACACCCCCAAGTGCAACCCCTAGCGAGCCTTAGGCGCCAGCTTCCCCCCACGCTGCGACTGCGGCACCATATACTGCACCATGCAGCCCCAAACACGCACCATACTGACATCTGGTTTGCGTTGGAAGGCGAGCTCGTACGGCGTCACACCAGAGGGCAGCGAGGCGCCAGCGCCACACGGCTACGCGGTTGCGCACCCACACGGCTTGCGACAGCGCCAGGTGCCACCAGTGATGCTGCACACCCATGTGCAACAGCATCGTTTGCACCGCCTCCACAATGCTGCGCATCTCCCTCTCGCCCATTCCGTTCTGCTCCGGCGTGTACAAGCATGTGAGGTTGTGGATGATCCCCTTCTCGTCGAGGAAGAGCGTGAAGTCGTGGTCCAGGAACTCGCCACCCCGATCAGTGCGCAACGTCTTCACCGTGGTCTTGCACTGCCTCTCTGCCATCGGGAGCCACTTCTGGAACGCCGCCAATGCATCGCTCTTCTTGGCCAAAGGGTAGGCCCAAACGTACCGCGTCTTGCGATCCTTCAGCACCAAAAAGTAGCGGTTGATGTCCTTAGCTGCTTCACGAGAAGGGCTACACAGGTCAGCATGCACCACCCCAAGCAGCTCATCCTCCTCCTCTCCCACAGATGGAAAGGTATGACGGGTGATTTTCCCCCCAACACAGGAGACGCATGGCATCCCTGACTTGCCCCCCTTCTCCAAATCCAAGCCCTTCACTGACCCGTGAGCCGCAGTGCGCTCGATGGCATCAATACCAACGTGTGCCATACGCGCATGCCACATGTCTGTCTTAGACCGCACGCCCGTCGCCAAGGTACGAAGCGCCACCGTTTCGCCTTCCTGCTGCTGCGTCGAACACGGCTGGAAGTTCGTGCAGAGAACACGGCCCTTGAACTCCGCACGACCAAGAAGTGATCCATCTGGTGCCCTTAGCAGAGTCACATCGCCCGCATCCAGCAGCTGCACGCCGCTATCACGCAGCTGCCCAGCAGAAAGAAGACTCGCCTGCACTCCAGGTACGTACAGCACGTCCGGCACCAAGACACGCCTGCCCCCCTCTCCAAGAAGAGCGACTGTGCCTCGCCCCTGCACCTCCTGAAGCGCGCCGTTGAAGCCAGTAACCTGTTTAATACTGCTGCCGCTGCTCATCTCCACAAAGGCAGAACGATCTCCCATGAGATGGTGGGAGCATCCGCTATCAAGCAGCACGACGCTCGGGTTCGCCTTCACAGCAGCTGCAACAGCCTGTAAGCCCTCCCCGGCCTCAGGCTCCAGCACAACGAGAGGAGTTTGCTCTACAACGGGCTTCACCATCGCACATGATGACTGCCCGCTCCCCTTAGAGCCATCACCCCCCTTGCTGCTGCTACCTCCAGAACCCTCTCCACCAGTGTGTGCCTCCTTATCCGCCCGCTGCTGACAGTACTTAGCAACATGCCCTATTTGTCCACACACATAGCACTTCCCCTTGAAGCCCCCTTTCCCCCCCTTTGGCTGGCCATCCTTACCCCCTTTCCACTTCTCCCCTCCCCCACCAACCCCACCCCCATTCTTAGGCTGCTGCTGCTGTGCCGTAGTGGGAGGGGAAGGGAATGAAGTCTGCTGGAATTGGGGCTTACCCTTCTTGGTAAAGACTTGGTTAGCCTGGGGAAGGAATTGGTCCTTTCGTCCCTCCGCCGCCAGCGTACACTCCTCCTCGATGATGTAGCTAGCGAGGGTGTTCTCGTCCAGCTCCTTGCGCACCTGCGGCAGTTTCAGCATCCTGCGTAAGAGGTTGTACTGCTGCGGCAACCCCTTCACGACGTGATTAATGTACGACGCCTGCGAGTAATCTACACCGGCCATCATCAGGTTCACTAGGATCTGCTGCGCACGGTTGCAATAGGACGTGGCGGACTCGTGCTCTCCCATCTCGAGGTTAGTGAGCGCCTGCTCTAGCTGACCTATGTACAGATCGTCCTTCGCCATATACGTGCGCATGATAAACTGCCATGCCTGAAAGCCGGCATCTACTTTGAAGCGGCACGCCTTAAGGGCGATCTGTACGGTTGGGGAGTAGCATCGGGAAATGGTGGTGAACGTTAGCAATTGCATCGCACGGAACTAAGAAAGTTGTGCAAGTGTACGCGCTGGTGGAATGGGAGTGGTGCCATCTATGAATCACTTTAGCTAAGCAATCTCAAGCTGCGGCTCGATCGATTCTGTCCACATCGACAGGTCGTGACGTCCTTCTAACGGCCTAGGGACGACGATCTTGTCTGGAGTGAATTTGAAGAAGCCATAGTTGGGGCCTATTCCCTTGTCCCTCGACATCAATCCAATCGGGGTAACGCCCGGCATAGCCTCACTATCGTACTCCTCCACACTGCCTCCTCCAGCAACACTCCGCCGTCCTACATTCGCATGCTCTCGTGACGCTGCCGCACGATGAACACGCTCCTGTACACCGCCAACGCTAGCCGTACTAAACCGGGTCGGTCCTCGCAGGACCCCACGCGACATCAACCCATCAAGCTCCTCGTCATCGCTATTACCGCCATCAACAGCCATATCCCACGCACTAGTACCTCCCGCAGCTTGCTTAACATTCTTTTCACGAGGCGAAGGCTGCTCACGACGCCGACGTGAGCGCAATCCCTCCAACATTAGCTCGTATTCGATATCACTAATCTCACCACGAGAATGACGAGCCACGAGATCCTCCTCTAGGGCGCGCAAATTACCAGCCTCCGAGTTCGCCTCCTCCATATTCATCCTCTACGACGTCTCTACTGTTGGGCTGAGACTTTGTAGAGTTAAAGTCTAAGTAGGATTGTAATAGCGGAAGCGTTTGAATGAAAAATCCTTGAACCACCTTGCGCTAGTATGTGAGGGCAAAGTAAGTTAATTAAAACAAGCAAATACAAGGCTTTATATAAGAGTACAAGGAATACGAATAGATATGATTAAACTGTTTTGCTGTTGCGATTCGATACAGTGCGACTCGGGCAACTGCTCAATGTCGAGTCGGTTGTGTGTCCTTGCTGTCGCGCTGTATTTGTCAAGTCAAAGGTCGCTGACTTTTGACCTTCGCGTAACCTCCAGGCGGTTACCCTAACCTCCGAGGGTTGACTCGCGATGCTTCGATTTGGACTGCTTCGCTTGTGTCCTGAGTTTCGACACGACAGAGGCGCTTTAAGACTTATTGTTCCCAACACTCCCCTTCGTTTCTGGAGTGTCGTTAATGGTGACGTGGCCTTGTCCATTCAGCAGCATGCAGTACTCGAACTTCTGTTTTCCGAGTTTCTTGGTCAAGTAATCGGCTGCCATCTCAGACGTGGGACAGTAGGATAATTCGAGTTTCCCTTTCTCGATCTCGTCTTTCACGAAGAAGTATCGCAGAGCGATATGCTTCGTTCTGTTCGCGAATCCGCTTTTGTTGGCGATGCGAATTGCAGATTGGTTGTCGCAGAATAGGGTGAAGTTGGGTAACTCGGCTAACCTTGCTTCTTCCAGCAGCTCGCGAAGGTAGAGTCCTTCCTTGGTGGCTGAGCAGAGGGCGATATATTCTGCTTCAGCTGAAGAGAGAGCGATTAGTTCCTGCTTGCTCGACTGCCATGAGATAGGTCCGATAGGCTCGAGACGATAGACGTAGCCAGTGCGAGAGCGCCTATTGTCGGAATCGCCGCCATGATCGGCATCGACGTAGCCGATTAGTTTCGTGGTCGTAGTTTCGTTTTTGTAGTAAGTCAGGCCGATCGTCGGAGTGCTCACGAAGTAGTGTAGTGCGCGATCGAGCTCCGCCAGGTGCTCTGC